AGGAACTTTAGCATACCACATTGGCCCTGTCCATCTAAAGTGTCTCCCTGCTACTAGTTCTTCGTCTTTATCTTTCTTCTGAGATAGAAATGATATATGACACCAGTCATAGTCCAGTGGGCTAAGGTAGAGTAGGGCTAACCTATGAACTATGGTTCAACCTCAGCTAGGGGCAATTTATATATCCTAAAATGAGACTTTGTATCACTGCTCCTGTAACTTATGATAGAGAGCAATTTGGGTTGTTCTAGTAATCAAGGAGCCTTATGGGTAGACTACACCCCATAGGTCAAAAGATAGATGATCTGACTGGTAAAACTTTCTGATATAGTATTGCCTGGAAAATACCTTCAAAAGGGGGAAGAAGTTTCATAGGATCTTTTCAGTAGTGAAAGGAAAGGTACAGATGGCTAAAACTATTAGTTGCACAACTATCAGTAAGAGTTTTACATGTCCGTTGGTAGTGAGAATCCAGTTGGGATTGCAGGAGGTCACTTGTATCATGGGATGTTCTATCCTAAGGGGTACACTTGCGATGGTTGACTGCATGCCCCCATAAATTGTAACTCCTCGCATGTGTTGCTGGGTCAGATTAGGAAGGGTGAGGCTGGATCTGATTCCCAGATGAATTTGGTATACTGGTGTACCCTCATCCCACCAATGATATTTCACTAACTAAATTCTAGTAAGTCTTGATTAAACTGAACAGTTGAAATACTGTAGTAGTGGCTGCAGGCAATGATTATCCTGGTATGATAGCAAAGGTCTGCTTGCCTTGAAATAGCAACTTTCCACTCTCACTGTCTATACTTAGAGACTTAGACCTAATATGAGTAGTTAGGATCACCCCTGTACCCTGGAGAAACACCGGGAGACTGGTAGGTGATAAAAGAGATACCTGAGTTGACAGCAAAAAGGGTTAAAAAAAAATAAATAAAGATAGTATTAATATATATTAGATAATTTAAACTATAAAAAAGACTTACTATAAAGATATTTTACTTATTATAGTATAGGATATTTATCTAGAATTGAAGAAAATCTTAATATAAAACTTTATAGATAAATTTTGAAAGAATAATTAAGATATTAATTAAGATATTAGAATTTAGTTTCCAAAGATATTATATTTCAATATAATGAAAATTCTAAATATAAGACTAAAATAGTTTAAAAATGATTAAAAAATAACAAAATTAGAACTATTTCTTGCCATTAAAATTTCTATATTTAAATTCAATAAAAAATATCTAAAATAATATAAAAAGAAAAGTAATGATCTAAAAATTAATATTAATAACAAGAAAACTCTCTGGAAAAATTTATTAGAAATTTGAAATGACATATTTGAAAAAATTTGTAAAGAATATATAGAATTAATATTTAAAAGAATTAATGATATTATTAAGTTAAAAAGTAATATATTATTATTTTTTTTTTAAGGGCTAAAGTGCAATACATGTGAGGATTTTATTGTAAATCAATAGATTTTACAAATAATTATTATATGAACAGTCTATTTAACTGACACATTGCTCTTTTTCTAACCTGAATACTAACCTATATTATGAAGGTAAATTCATACTTGAGTGTAAACTATAAAGTGTTTTTTTGTTTTTTGTTTTAGCCTGTTTAACTATTACTAGGGTTCTCTATCACTTTTACCCTATGATACATATACTGGATATTACAAAGCTTACTACTTTACACTTCCTAATAAATGCTCCAAGAGTTTATTCTTATAGTTGACACATATTACCAAATCTGGGGACCCAGTTGCTGGCCAAGTAGGTATGACTCCTTAAGAATTATTTTTTACTCTCCCAGTAGATACTCCATAGGACTCTTAGTTGGCTTAAGCTATCAAATCTAGGGGTATAAATATCAAGCAGGATGCAACTTTTATAAAGTGGCCTCAAATCTCCAAGTATACTTGTAAGGTTCCAGTTTATAAGTTAAAAGATAATTATATAAGATAGTAATAGAAATCAAATATGTATATATTCCAATAGATAAATATTATTTCTTTATTTGTTTGTATATTTAAAATATATATATCATAAAAGAAACAACATCTCTTATATACAATAGCAGTAAGTTTAATACTAGTTTGTCCATACTATCTATATCTAGCTAATATTGAAAAAGAAATTTTAAAACAATACTATATACTAAATATAGCTGAGAGTAGTGGTTATGCTTATTTATTCAAAAAATTTGATAAGACATAAAAATAAAATAAAAAGTAAAAGAAAAAAAGAAAAAATATAACTGGAGCTACAATTACATGAACTACTTGTGTTGAAACTATGTTGATTAAACTACAAAATCTATATAAATAAAAAGAATATCAAAAAAAAAATCAATAGTTTAGCCCTTGCACTAGTGCTAGGCTTAAATACAGTATATATCTTTTATTGACATGAATAGTAGAGTATAATTGATGTTGTTTATTATTATAGTAGTTGTTATGGTGGTAATTATTGTTATTATTGTTATACTAAAAAACTGATTTAAACTGGTTCAGTTTTTGTTTTGACAAAATTTGATTGGATAATTGAAGTGTAACAATCATCTGGAGAGGGTAAACTGATTTTAGTTTTTTAAATAAAAAGTTTTGGAAATTTTGAAATGGTGCAGTAAATATTGCCATGGTAAAGTTATATATAAAGATTGCATTATACATATGGTATAAATTGTTTTGCTGTTGACTTAATTTTCAAAATTCTTAAAAATAATTATATTATGACTCAATTATTTATATGTTTTAATAGTGACTCAATTAATTGCATCAAATAATTGTGTCAATTGTGTCAAAGATCTACTAATTTCAACAATATGTATAGATTGCATTAAAACAAACTATAGATCCAATAACTTTGTTTGAGTGTATTTTTTTGGAAAGTATTTAACTTAATGAGTATGATGGTGATAATGTATATAGTTTTTATGATAAAATAAGGATAAGAAAAGATGCAAGAGAACAAAAGAAAAGAGAACTGTTACAGGCCTTTCCTCATATAACTGAAAGATAAGCAAGGTTTCTAAACTTGAATAGACTTCAACCAGAGTTCCATCCTATTGCACCAGTTGTCTTAAAGGTTCTTAAGTTTTTGAGCTGAGGCTTACTTGCGATAAAAAGTATAAAGTATTTTTTCTTGACAAAAATTATTATAAAAGAAAAATTTTTAACAAAGTAAACATAATAAATAAAATTTATTATTTTTTTTAAAAAACACCAAAAATATTGCAACAATAAATTTTTTAAAATTTATCATAAAAATTTTTTTATTAATTTAATATATTAACTTATACATTATTTAAGAATACTTATATTCTATCTATATTATAAATTTCATCATAATCTGATTTAATCTACTTAAAATTTACCATTTAAAGATCGCCGATCAAGTGTTGTGTTCTTTTTGGAAGACGGTGGTGTAATCTCCATCAAAAAGTTATTAGGTGATTCGGATAAATTTACTAGAATATCATATTTTATCTTGTTCTTTGTTTCTTTCATATCAATAAAGTTGGCCCTAGTGGCTAAATTTTCATGTATAATTATACTAGTATTTTTTTCTAATTTTTAAAAAATTTTCTTGAAAGTAATCGACAACCTGAGATTAAAAGTCCCACTTCAAACTTTTGAACATATCGGCAACTTGTATAAACGATATTGGACACATTTCTCAATAAAAAAAGCACTAAATCTCTACTCTGTTCAACGTAGTATACGAGCATGCTCATCTACGTAATGTTGTGTGAAAGTGTAACGACTGGAAAAAGTTGTGTCACATTTAGGGCAATCAATTTTCAATTTTTTATTCACTGATGATAATGCAAATGGTTCCTATAATAAAAAAACATGAGTGGTGAAATATTGCTACATATAAGTAATAGCGATGACGCACCTGTGAAATTGCTTGCTCAATCTTCCACACCTTCAATGTGAACTCCGGCAAAATATTACCACCCTCTAAATCTTCCCATGCGTGCTCACGACGAAAGACATTACCATGTTGATTCCGCTTGTATACCCAAATTTTTCTATTTTTGGGATCAATCAACCAACCGAGTTGCACGGATGTTCCAACTGTAAAGTATACACGTTTAAATTTATAATCTGACTCTTCGAACACCGATCTACTTTTGGTATCTCCAACCTCGATAACGAGTGTGGGAGTGAATGGTCTACCCTGGAAAGTCCAACGTTGCAATTCAATCAATTGGCTTGATACCGCATCAGGCGTGAAGGAGACATCAGGAGATCTAATCGATTTTCGGCCCCCAACACTAAAATCAAACCCTCCTTGTGATGTTGTTATGAGCCCGTTCTGTCCAGTTTAAATATTCCATTGATAAAGTTCCCCCACAATTGTTGAAACAGTAGCCTCCATGCACGCAGTGGCCTGTGGCATTGGAATAAGCTTTCCGGTTGCGTCAAGGTCAAATAAATTGACAGGTTGTCCGTTGACTTCTAAAGTGCGTGTTTCGAGCTGTTTGTTAATTAACTCGAACTCTTCAAATGTGTAGGTATGGCTAAAATCCAAGTTATCAAGATCTATTTTTGCTTTGGGCATTTTCGTGAGGTAAATATTTTTTTTGGTCAGGCGATTTAAAATTACACAAACCTGGTACATGTACAGTATTGGTTATAAATTTATCTTGAACTATTCCGAGGCCTTTCAAGATCGAGATAATACCCCGGATTTCGAGATAGCCGAGATATGCAAAAAAGGAAACAAACACAAGCAATAGGAAAGAACTAAGAGGTTTCAGAAGAAGAGCCTATTTGCGCAATCTGAGAAATGAGTTCAGCCAGACAGGTATTACATACCACAATTCCAACAATAAGAATCAAAGGGGTCGCGAAAATGATTATTGGTAGACCGGCGACCAGGTTGGTTACTATATACACGAAACAAGACATCAAGTTTGGATTCGAAATTAGTAGCGACATTTTGGTGCATTTTATATAAATACAAATCAATCTGATGTAAAGGCTTTAATTTTGAAGCAAATATAATTTTAACTGACTTTTACACTTGCTAGTCTCTTTTTAACTGTCACTTTTTCTTTAGGTATATTTTAAGACTACAAGTGTCTATTTACAGTACCAAAAAATAATTTAGCTTCTTTTCTTCTTAAAGATATTTATTTTAATATAGTGATGCAAACTTAGTTTAGACTTAGGAGTATAGTATTATTTATTGTGCAAATGAAATAGCATTTATTTAATAAATTATGTATTCAAAATAAAACAAGTGTTCTAAAGAAAAACTCTAAATCATAGACTTAAAACTTCTTCTTCTTACTTAAGCTACATAAATTAGTCTATTTATATGCCTTGTTCAATTTTATTAGTATAATTATGAAAAAAAATTTTGATACAATATATTTTAGGTTTGAAAAGTGGAAAGCCTATTTATTACAATAGAACAAATCAATAAAAATCCATTGACATTTCAAATTATTGTTCTTTGACTATTATATACACAGTATATATTTTATAATTTTTTTTTTTTTTTTTTTTTTTTTTTACTTTAAATATTAATTTTAATAAATAATGATAATAAATCAATACAAGTAATTATAAGCAAAATGGTGTTTCATATTTAAAAAAAATCATTGCTAAAATTATCATTTATTAAATTATAAATACAAATTGTAATTGCAATTTTTTCTTAATAAACGTATATAATGTATATATTTGTTTATCTAAAATTATTTTTTATATTTTTAAATGCTACTGGATGTTTATCTTAATCCGGAGTATAAGCGTATGGACTGCACTGTATATTTCTACGCAACATGGGAAATTTCAAATATTTCCCAAATTCGACATTTATCCAAATCTTTGTGATACTTTTACGGTTCACAGCATTGAGATCTGTTTTGGAAACTTTTTTAATACCGTATGCGACACAGATGCTTTTGGTTGTCATTGTATAATCAAAACAACGCGGTGTAATTAACCCAACAATCATGCCAAAAGAGTATTGTGTAATCAATTAATTGACCGAATTCAAAATAGGCACAATTTCAACCTTATAAAGGTTTTCCAATGACAAATAAGGTATTCATCTGCTTGATATAAGATTTCGAAAACGTTAGTTCATTCAATAACCCAACATGGTATTTGAAAGTATAATGTGTCGATAGGGGGCCATTGAAAAGTTTGGTTTTCCGACAGACCTTATTTTCTGTAAGTAAATGAAAATGGTAATTGTTAAAACATCAGTATACACAAACTTCATTGTATTGCAGTCTCCATACCTCTCTGCGAATGTATAAAACTCCTTGCTTTTCTTCGGTAATTCAGCATCTGCAAAATGACATCTCTCAAATCTTTTACCTTTCACTTGGCGTTTCTTACTCTTTTCTTGTTGGCCTTTATCCATGCGAATCATGCTGAAGAAGAAGAGACATTTACGCAAGAGTTTTTAAAAGAAAATCAAGACATTGTTGAAAAATTTACTACCAAAAATCCATATTTCATTAAAATATCGGATGGCACTGCTAAAGATTCAATGTTCAAACAAGATATTATCTCATTATTTAGCTGGTATACCCTTTGGACAAGGTCTGCAGGATATGCCTTAGTTAATGCTCCGGTTCCGCCTCCAAAGGATTGGGAACTAGGCGATGTACCACCAGAGTTCTTCATAGATGTTTTAGCCGGTGCTATAAATGATGAACATGGTGATCTGGAAATTACAAAAAACATCGCGACAAAACATAACATTGACCTTTACGGCTCACCACCTTCAAAATTTGTCGGGGTCGACGCAGATTATATGATTAAAATTGCCAGGGACAACCCTTTTGGAGCGTGGTTTGCCGCTAATTGGGCCGGTGTTCGGCTTTCACGCGAAGCGTATTTGATTGCTGATGCATCCGCGAAAAAGAATGGGTACAGTTACGCTTACCAGGATCATATTGATGTGTTTACTTCTGCAGGTTATAAAAACACGAGTGATGGACTCGAGCTCATAACAAACCTTATTTACAAATCCAAGGATTCAGATAGAAAGTTAGCAACTAAGCTTATGAGAAATCACTTGGATTTCATTTATAATATTATGGCGGAGGATGCAACAGCATAGATTCGTTACTTTTACTTTTTAATTAAAAATCAATCAAATGTAATAATCACTATTTACTGTAACAATAAAATATCGGGATTTCATGCTTGACTAACGTAATTAATAATTCGAGCTTTTATGATATATTGGCAGGGTTCTATTTTCATTATCAAACTTGAACAAGCGAAATATAAAAATAGATCATATCTTAATTAACTGTTCTTTAGAAAGAAATCACGCATTGAGAGACGAACGCGAAATTACCGCGCGCATAAATCACATGGTCAATATTTTGATATAACATCTCAATCACAATTACATTTCTCATAAAAATTTATATCTCTAAAAACTTTCTCTAAACAAGATTATATCCAAGAGAATGCGCCTAAATGTAGATGTTTGCTATTCACATATCAAGCTACTTAGACGTGTAATTAAACAAAATTTTTCAGAATCAATAATGTATGGTCTTTTACTAAACAATTGCACTAAATTTTTATCCCAAAATTTAATTAAGCAATAATCTTTTTTGCAATTTTACGGTAATTCGACTCTTGACTGTTCTATTTAAAATACATTTTATAGGACATTAACTCCAAATTAGACAACAGGCAATAAATTAACGAAACGTGGTTAGGTTTATGAATGGTGACGATACATGATTTTATCTATTAAAAGTAGTTCTTATATCCGGTTTACCGGCGAATTCTTCGCTAGATCCATGCAATTTACATAAATTTTTTAGTCTTGACAATTAAAAATAAAAGGATAAGTCGTAAAGTCTCCCTCCACTTTTCCATTTGAACATAAACCGTGATTTCCCAATATCGTATGTAATGCTTCAATACAATTTTTGAATTTCAATATATACTACGTGTACAAGAAAACCAAAGTTATTGTGCCGAGTTATCATTCTTATAGACCGTTATACTGGAGTTGATCAGTAAAGAAAAATAAAAGTAAAAATGAAATAAATTCATTATGTCAAGACATTACAAAAACAAAGTAAGATTGCACGTCTTCGACAATATACTGTACATCTGAACTCAGCGTTTGTGAACAAACCAATGGTTATTAATTAATACTCGGATAATGAAATATGAATTCGTAATAACGTCTTTGTTTTCTTATATAAAGACTTGTGTAAAGGGGATCTTCCCAGAAAAAGAAGTTGGGAACGAAATGTACAAAATTGGAAGATCAACTTTAAATACAAAAGAAAGTATACTTTTCGGTTTGTGTGTTTCTTACCGTTTAGGTAATATTAAATAGAACCGATTAGGCAAGGACTGACACTTTTTCAAATGAATTCAATCATTCAATCACAGGGAAAAACCGTCATGCATAGGTTAACTGGCCTCAAAACAGGTTTATGTAGAATCGAATTTCCCTGGTATCACAACATTTAATCACAATCAACACATCATGTCATCTATCTAAATGCTGATTCGCCATAATAGTCCCGATCTGATGACCGGAATTTCGGAGTTTAGAATCAAATTTCCCAATACAGTATGACGTGGGTAACAGAGACGGGGCACGGATATTCTTCACCGAATGAATCCTGTAAAAAAGAAAGAAATCAATTCTATTAATTATTTCCTTTTGTTATTCGATTTATTCGAACAAGGCATTGTCGTATATTAACTTATTTCAAATATCAATGAAAAAAATACCCAACACCACAGCGTGAGTCCTATTATGATAATATGAACATACAAGAAGTAACAGAACCGACATCTTTCAAGATAACAAGATTTGGTCAACAAGATCATGCATAACTAAGGAGTGCGTATTAAAGCCAATTTTATTTATTGTGTGAATTTCTTGATTTTTCAAGACATGCTATCAATGATTTCTTATAACGTATTATCAAAATTATTGTTTTTCTTATAAAACGGCGAATCTTCACCAATCTACATTCTGCTTTGTACTACGTTCGACAGAAGCCATTGTTTGATCGGACATTCATTGATGTACATGTACAATGAAACATCTCGATAACAAATCTCATTGACGAACCTGTATACATTTCCGGTGAGGTTGAACAACGGCATTGTTTATTGTTAACAGTTAATCACTTTTTTTTTTGTTATACTGTACGTTAATTCCTCTATATTATTGTCATTGGTTTTATTCGAAAATAATAATATTAATAATAAAAAAAGGATTTTGCAATGCCGAGTAGTGTTATTATTATTATTATTATTATTATTATATTTGAATAAAATTATTACTTGACTCGTAAAGGATTAATCATCATTGATCTGTATTGACACCGGTATACGCATTATGGAGATAGGCATTTACTTGAAAAATTAAGGATAACAGTAGTAGCTTAGACAGTGATTATCATAGATATTTAGAATAGTTGACGTCTTAAAGACTTCATAATATACTGTATCAAAAACAACTTGAGTTGTCAAAATAAATCATAAAAAATTATTATTTATTTATTTTTGCAGGAACCGAGAATTCAGATCAATTAATTCCATGTCTCTAGCCATAATGCGATAGAATTATACTGAATATTTATTTATTAATTTTTACATCTCATTATAACAGTGCAAGTCAGTTCATGGGTTTCTAACAATTTCATCGATCAATAAACTTTTTACCCAATCACCTCTGGGTAAAAATCTAACATGATATTCCATTGGCCACAGAGTCAAACCAACGATGGCCTTGCCAAGGTCGATTGGCATTGGCTGATTATCTTTACCTAGTGGAGAGGCGTTTTCAATGTTAAATGCCCAAAGAAGACGAGAGAGGATTACAAATAATTCACATTCAGCCTACAATAATTTAATTATTAGATGATCTAGGAAAAGATTTGCTTAGCAAAAGATCGAATAAAAAATTGTCAAATGTGTACCAAATTAATTCCCACACATGTCCTTCTACCTCCTCCAAAACTGAAATGATCCCTCTTTTCTTGTGGCCCATTTGCTAAGGCAGCTGATGTCAAATTCACATTTAACCATCTCTTAGGATCGAACACGTAAGGATTCGGATGCCTTGTAGGATCAAAGGAAGTAGCATGGTTATTAATAATTACAAATGAATCTTTGGGAATATGATATCCCATGTATTCATCATCTTGTTCAATATAATGTGGTACGGCAGCAAATGTGGGTGGACAATATCGTTGACCTTCACGTATGATAGATCGTGTGTATGGAAGGGCCAAAGTATCCGAGTAGTTTGGAAGACGAGTGCGACCGACGATTTTATCAAGTTCTTGATGAGCTTCCGCTTGAATTTGTGGGTTATTTGCGAGAACGGCGAGCAACCACGTAATACTACCCGAAACCGTATCCTTTTAATTCATTTTAGTCTGATTAAATAAAATCCTATTTTTTAAGAATATCTAATAAGGAAACTTACAGTGCCGGCAAAAATAAGATTACTTGAAAGGTGAATGACGTCAAGTTCATCAAGTCCCTCCTTTTCCCGTCTTTCCCACAAATCTCTAATGAAACAAGGATTTTTGTTTTTATCGTTTTTAATTTCTTGGAAAAGACCATCATACGCGGATTCAGTTTCGTCTCGAAGTGCATAAGCCTCCTATTGATCACGAAAAACACATGATTCAAGAGAAAAGATTAAAGCAGCGGTAAGCAGGCAATATGTCGAAATATTAGTTTACCTTCTTTTGACTATAATTTGGGACATATCTAAGAATCGGAAAAAAATCCATTGATCTACCACTGATGCTTGCCAATTCTGAAACTCTCATTACCAATTTATCGATCCTTTTAAACATGGGATCGTTAATTCCTTTGGTTTTCCTTCCAAAAAGGATATTCATTATGATATTCATTGTTGTTCGTCGAATATATGAACGTGGAAAGATCGCGAGCCCTTTTGATAATTCTCCTTGTTCCTTGTTGGGAATATATAAAAGATCCCTTAATAAATCTCGGGTGCACGTATCAATAATCGGAAAGAAAGATGCAATCTTGTGAACTGAGAGAAGTCTGGCAACTTTTTAAGTGGAAAGGTGTGATTATTAATATAGCACGTAATTTTTTTAAAAAAAGATCTAATTCTCGCAAGTTTACCAATGGCCCGAAGTTTTCGATAATGGTCATTGTACGGACTACTTCCGAAAGACTTTCCTCTCGAGAGAATTCTGAAGATTAACTCTGAATCCTGACGGGATGAATAAATGGCACCGCCTATATTTTTGAGGAAAAATATGATATGAAATAACTACAACCTTTGTCTCGTACAATCGAATCAAGCGAAAGTGCTTACGTTTTTGTATCAATTCTCCAATGGCCTTATCAGAATTTAAAATCACCCAATTGGTTTGACCCATCTTGATACTGTAGATATCGCTACCCAGCTCTTCTTTCCATCGCGTGAACCTAAATAAAAAAAGATAAGAAATGCTGTCTAGCTTTATGTTATTTGGCTGGTGCCTTGCGCATCCTTACGTTTCGTGAGGCTTCGGACCAAGATTTCCATAATGTCCTTTCAATCAAAGGTGACAAGTAAAATTTATCATATTCGGTAGAATGCGAATTAATGCATCATAGGCAATTTCTGCAATACAAACCAAAAAAAAATCTCGAGCCCGGTGGTGTCGGAAGAGCTCTTAAGGATTTGTGTCTATTCCTTCTTAAAAGAATACATGCGTATGCTAACGATATTATCAATATGACGTAGAAAATCATCTTTTCTTTATTTTAACGAAAACGCAATCGTCGAATTTGGTAAAAGGGTAATTTGAGGATGTGAAGTTCTTCAAGATATTTAAATTTTTCCACCCAACCCTTGTAAATTTCTATTAATAACGGCACCCTATGGATATTACGTGAGATGGTTAATTAATTTTGCCGAACGGAAAAATTTGATACAATATATTGAGGTGATGTTATTTTTTTATGTAATAGAAAAAAGGGCTTTGCTATCAAAGACATGTGAATTTTACGATTCGTCTCTTTAATCAAGATGTCATTTTCCCACATTGATCCAAACTAATTACTGCATTACATCATATCTTATTACTAACGATACAGGAAATAAGCAGCGAAAAGGTGTTTTTATTTTCCGATACCGAACCCAATTGATGACAGAGGGACGCCTGGTTGATCTGAAGAGTCATTTATCATTACATATTTTTTTTAAAAAAAACATATTCCGTATACAGTATTTTTTTTTTTCGAATATAAAAAGTATGCGAGCATAACGTTGAATATTTTTATTATTGAGAAAAAAAATTATTGTTTTTTATTTTTAAGATAATGGAATTATTATAAATAAATAAATAATAAATAATTAAAATTAAAAATAAAACTCGTATAATTAATGACTATTATTATTACAGTATATCTTATTTTGTCTTATTTTACCTTGTTTTATTTCATCTTATTTATTTTATTTTATTGACAGAAACCATTTTGACATTAGATGATTAAATTTAGTTTAAAAAGTACTGTAATAGCAGTGTATTATAAGATAACTTTTTTTTTTTCGAATATACTGGTAATTAAAATTTTTTCAAATATTTCCAAAATCAAAATTTATTCAAATTTCGTAATACCAATTTAGGTTCCCCGAAGATCTCTATCTTAAAGTCTCAAAAATGCGATACAGCAATTATGGCTGCCATTGTATCAATATGCAAGTGCAAGTAACCAACGTTCAGTTACTAAAGGCATCATGATTGAATCGGCGTTTTTAGGTGACATAAAATATTTATTTGATATTTTAAACCTAATTAAATATTTCGAAAAAGTTTGTTCATTTAACAACCTAACCTGGAATTTAGAGATCTATTTTGTCGATAAGTGACCATTGAAGAGTTGTGTTTCCTGCAGACCTTATTTTCCACAAAATAACGGAAATGGTAACTGCGAAAGATACAGACTTCATTGTATTGCAGTCTCCTTGCCTCTACGCGAATGTATAAAATCCCTTGCTTTTCTTCGACAACTCAGATGTCTACAAATGGCTTCTCTCAAGTCTTTTAACTTTCACTTGGTATTTCTTACGCTCTTCTTGTTGGCCTTTGTCCAAGCAAACTATGCTGAAGAAGAAGAGTCGTTTACGCAAGAGTTTATAAGAGAGAATAAAGAACTCATCACCAAATTTACCCTCGAAAATTCATATTTAAATGAAATATCAAACGGCACCATCCAAGATTCTGCGTTCAAACACGATCTTATCGGATATCTTCGCTGGTTTACCCTTTGGGCAAAGTCCTTTGGATACGTCTTGGCTAAAGTTCCTGTTCCACCTCCAGAAGATTGGAATTTTGGCGATGTACCACCAGAATTTTTATTGAATATTCTAGTCGGCGCTATGAACGATGTTCAGGGTTATATCTCTGTCTTTAAAGGCATCGCAGCAAATCATGGAATTGACATTTATAGCGAACCAACTTCAGAGTTAATCAAGGCCGATACAGACGAATTGACTAGAGTAGGCAAGAGTCTCCCTATTGAAACGTGGATAGCCCGAAATTGGGTCGGAGTTCGATTTACCTACGAAGGATTTTTGATTGTTCAAGAAAATATTAAAAAGGGCAAATACAATTACGCTTTCCAGGACTATATTGATGTATTTACCTCCCCTCGTTTTAATGCCACGGTCACAGAAATCGAATTCTTAACAAACACCATTTACAAGTCCAAGAAATCAAATAGAAATTTAGCAACCACTGTTCTTAGAAAACGCTTGGAGAGTCTTTATGAGATCATGGCGGAAAATGTGAAATAAAGGATTAGCTTAGATTTCAAAAATATTAAATACAGTATATAGTTACCATCAAACAATAAATAAATATAATACTTGAACTACGTTATTAAGAAGACCAGAGGCAATTCGATTTGATCTAAAACTAACAAAAATCTCACAAAAAATATTTTGATCATAGACTCGTCATAACAAATTATCACGAACTCGTGGTACTGTTTCTCACTAAAATTTTTTATCGTTCTGACTAATACATCTGTTTCTCAATAATAAAATATCTAGCTTTTTCATATACGACTTAAATTCTTAACTATATAAACTAATTAAATATTAAGATCAAATTAATGCTAGGTGCTCACTATACGTTTAAAATATTGCTCAAGTTCGCTATCTAATCTTTCTACGATATTATTGTAATTAATTACAGTAATTAATTCATGCTATTTCGATTTTATCGCTTTCCCGAATTCTTGGTACGATTGTCGTTGATTTTTTCCTCCATTGCAGCACCATATCGGGAATTCTTCTTAAAACCAGGTTAATTTATTTGGCCAGGCCTCAATGTATTTGAGGCAACAACTTTGAAAAACTTGATTATTTATTTAATCTAATTAAATTAAAATACTGCATATTAAAAAAATCATGTGTAATTATTTCCAAAAACTTTTTTAAAAATAATAAATTATAATTATTTTTAATTATGAAACATTCATTATAAATAATATATCTAGTACCGTGATAATATTTTGTTGGTATTTATCATGTGACAATATAAAAATATGATTTTTAATATCATAATAATATTACAATATTGCGTGATGATTACAATGATAAAGTGATTTCTTATAAATTAAAAATTACAATACTGGTCATAAAAAAAAAAAAATTATAAATTTATTTTTATTTATTTAAAAAGTAATTGTTACATAAAAAAAAATTAAAATAATTAAAATAATATACCAACTAATTATTTTAATAATTTATTTTGCCTATTTTTGAACATTAATCTTTTTAAATAACAAGGCATGCTTTTTATTAGTTTAATTAGTATAATATTTTCAAGACTTATCAATTCAAATCTATTATATTAGCTTATCAAAATTTTATAAAAATAATAAACTTTTTTTCTTGTACTTTTTTTTTATTAATTTTTTTTATTAATTGTTTTTATAAAATCATCTACAGATTTTTGATAAAGTTAATTTCTAATAAATTTGATGGTATATTTAAGATCTTTATATAAAAATCAATCACGAATTGCTTTATTGCTTTTGCTATATGTTTTAGATTATAATTTTGTTAAAAATTTAATTACAATCTATTATAATTTATATATCAATAATATTATTTGTAAAAATTAAATAATATAATTTTTTATTCATATAAATATATAAAATTAATTATATCTTTTATAAAAAATGCATTTTTTACATAAATATTATATAAATATTAACTATAAGACATTATAATTACTTTATATTAATCAGATGATAAACTTAAATTATATTACAAACTATCTAAAAAAATAAACTTATCATCAAAAACAATTTAATTTTATTTTTAATTAATATAAATATTGGTTTGTTTTAAGTGATATTATATATATATTTTTAATAAGAAAAAGAATTTATTTTGAAATCATATCATAATTATTTAATTACAAGTTATAAGTATTTTATTGATTTTCATTAATATATTTAAATTTTAATTATTAATATTCAATTTAAATACAGATTTTTTATTTTAAATTTTTAAAAATTTTTTTACAAATTGATTAAAAAATAATTTAAAAGACTGTTTTGAATAAGATAAAGAAACTAAAAATTTTTTAAAAAACTTTTTATGTAGTTATTATTATTATTGTGTTTTAATAAAAATATTAAAGTAACCATTTTTATTAATCACTAAAATAAATAAATAAATATTTTATTTGTCAAATCTAAAATATAAAAATATCTCAATCTAATAACATTATGCATATATCACGATTTATGTTTAAATAATTTCTAATAAATTATCTTTATAATTTCGAAAACAAATAAATCTGATTTTTGATTTTTTTTTTTAAAAAAAAAGACTTATACTCATCATTTACTATAGTTTATACACATACAAAAAATGATTTTTAATTTCAAGAATTTATGATATTAATTAATTATTTAAAAATTTGTTTTTATACAGTATTTAAAATTTACTTCAATTATACAAAAAATAAATAAATCTAGAATAATAAAAATCATGTCATCGTGAAATCAATTCTTGAAATAGAATATAATCACATTGTTTATATTAACGAATTAAATGTTTCGATATTTATAAAAAAAGATAATCCGATTTTTGGTTTGTTTTAAAATTCACAGTATTAAAGAAATCGTTTAAAATAATTATTTTATTTACGTTCAACAATCACTAATGTGTAGGTAACTTTAAAAGATTGTGGATTTTATAATTCATTGAAAAATTAGATAATATGTGACTGCCACAATCACTGTACTGTGCGAGTATGTACAAACTGTCATTTGTGCAGAGTGAAGTTTCCGAATCGATATTGTAGGAGGTAAAATTACTGTCAAAGACGCGAAATAATCATGTGATCAATATTTAACAGGAGTATTGCAAACATCAACCTGTAACAATAATGATTAATTAATGACGAACAGTGAGAAGGTATCATGTAATTTCGAATCACTTGCCTTTAATAGCCCCTAAAGTTCTATTAATTTGATATTTTCTTTTGTATTTTAAAAGCTTCCATCTAAAAGTCAGCTGAAAAATGTATAAAAAGAGAAAGAAAGAATTAAATAAGGATGAGAATTCGGTCAAGTCAGATATGCCTCCTTTGAGTTTTTTATTTGTAAACTAAAGGGACGGTCGCGCGAATTCTGCTCCCGGTTAGCGACAAACTCGCCGTTAGCCTGTTAAAATATGTAGCAAAACTAATATTTCTCCGTTAAAATGCTAGTCATGATAAAATACATAATGAAAATCTATTCTTTTTTTTTTTGAATCTGCTCGTTTATTTATTTAATGATAAAAATTTTAAATAAATTATTTCCAATCTTATAAAATAAAACTTTAAATTTGAGTTACTATTAGAGTAATTCTTTTCATTGAGATTTTAATATGATCAAATTTTTATCGCAAAAATTCACGAAATTTGTTACGGGTCGATTACAGCACATGACGCATAAGATGTATCCAAAAATAGAAACTCAAACCTGCTATTCATACTCAAATACAATAACGCAAAAGCTTTATCTGAATTGATTAAATCTAACGATCAATGACAAATAAAGTATTTGTTATTGCATATCTGTTTTGATCTTTCAAAAAGTTAATTCATTTAATGACCAATATAGTATATTGTGGTCATTGGAAGCACGGTTTTCCATTGACCTTATTTTCTAGAAAAATAAACGAAAATGGTAACCGCAAAAACTCAAAAGCACACAAACTTCATTGTATTGCAGTATCTGTATCGCCCGCGAAGGTATAAAAATTCTTGCTTTTCTTCTGTAATTCAGCGTCTACAAAATGGTCTCGTTTAAGTTCTTTAATCCTTATTTTGCATTTCTTGCAATCTTCTTGTTGGCTTTTATCCAAGCAAGCCACGCTGAAGACGAGACGTTTACGCAAGAGTTTATAAGAAAGAATAATGACGTTATCACTAGACTTACTCGCCAAAACCCATATTTCGTTGGAATAGCAGACGGTACTATCAAAGATTCTGCATTTATACGTGATATTATCCAGTCACATCACTGGTTCACCCTTTGGGCAAGGTCTGCAGGATATGCATTAACTAAAGCTCCTGTTCCGCCTCGGAAAGACTGGAACCTTGGCAACGTAGCACCGGAATTTTTCATAGACCTTATAGCAGGTGCTATAAATAATACTCAAAGTATTTCTACTTACTTGAAAAGTCTCGCATTAAAACATAACTTCGACATTTACGGCGAACCAGCTTCCGCTGCCATCAAGGCCGATGGTGATTATATGATTAATGTTGCCAAGAAGCTCCCCCTTGAAGCGTGGTTAGCCGAAAATTGGGTCGGATTTAGATTTACTCGTGAGGCATATTCGATCGCTCAAGAATCTGTAAAAAAGAACGGGTACCAATATGCTTTTCAGGACTACATTGACTTATTTTCTGACCCCAGTATGAAAACCGCGGCAGACCAGCTCGAGTTTTTAATAAACGCTATTTATAAGTCTAAGAAATCAAATAAAAAATTGGCATTTAAAGTTCTTAGGCAGCATTTGGAGAATGATTACGCGGTTTATGAGGATGATTTGTAATATTCTGTATTCAATAATAAAATGAGTTTTGTACTAGCGAAATTAAAACTCTTTACACAAGACCCATTACTTTAAATTTCTATCAAATGATTTCTTTTTAAAAAAATTTAGATTACACATCATGTGACAAACACATTGGAGCATAAATATTTGTTATTATCTATACTTAAATTTGAAATCGATGGTGCGGTAAATGTTAAGAAAATGTCTTGTAATATGAGTTAGATGTTTTAAATTTAAAATATTTTTGTCGCACAACTCGTTATAAGACTATGCTGCGAAACTGAGTCGAAATTTGGATCGAGAATGTTAAAATATATTCTATTTTCAATATATCCCACCTTATACTACCATTCTAAAATCATAAGCCAATGTAGGCAAATATTTAATTTGTTTTTAAAATGTAAAGATTTACAATAAAAGAAAAAATAAATGTTTGCTGGGTCATATACAGCATGATGATATTTTCGAATCTCGAAAATCAAACAATCCAAAAAATTGATTTCCATCCTATTGTTTACATTAAATTTTTATCTAAACTAACAATGTAAGTTAAAACAACGCCTCAAGTTCTTCGATTAAATTATTGTATTTCAACTCATTTGCTTGCAGATAGATTTTTTTCCACATATCCGATTTTCCATGAAATAACCAGAATGTTAATATATTTTGAGCCCGTGATTTGATGATGTCAGGAGTTCCATCAAAGGACATCCACTCCATTTCCGCACTTTTTGGTTTATGAAGCATCAAATAAAATGTTCATAATAAATATATCAAGTCAATTCTCGGTGAATAAGTAATTTGTTTACCACTGATCAACGATGTCAGACATAACTTCAAGGGCTCCCGCAAATTTTCCAGTTTCATTGATTTTACGTTATATTCTGTGATGGGCAAACGGCGAGTCTGTCGCTAATGCCAACAGGGGTTCGCGTAACCGTCACTCGTGTTTCTTTAATTAAAATAGGTGATTTGAGGCGCACGATTCAGCCGAGTCTTTCTCACTTCTTGTACACG